GAGCCATCAGAGAAACCTTAAGATAGAGTCAAATTCTTTCTGGTTCTTAGTAATCAGTTTGCGACTTTAATTTCTTATTTTATTTTTTAGTTTGTGAGCTTAAATAAAGCTAATGGAAAATAAAAAGGAAATAAAAGTAGGAAGAACCAGAAGAAGAAGATGGGCACATCCCTAAGTCCTAAGTCTGGACCACATATTTCTTCACTGATCAGCATAGAACTCATCACAAACTTAGTGGCTTAAGATGCCCACACACACTAAGTTGCTTCAGTCAGGTGCAACTCTGTGTGACTGACCCTATGGACAGTAAGCCATTAGGCCCCTCTGTCCATGGGATTCTCCAGGCAAGAATACTGGATTGGATTCCCATGCCCTCCTCCAGAGGACCTTCCCAACCCAGGGATCGAACACATGTCTCTTTACATCTCCTGCACTGGAGGGCAGATTCTTTACCTAGAACCACCTGGGAAACCCAGAGGTTTATGACATACCTACTTATTATCTCATAATTCAGATTTTGAAAGTAGTATGCCATGGCTGGGCTCTTGCTGAGGGTATCACAAGGCTAACATCAAGGTGTTGACCAGGCTGGACTCTCTCCTGGAGACTCACTGAACTTGAGTCCTCTCAGAGGCTTGATAGACCTTTCCTGACTCTAGTCCCAAGGATTTCCAAACACCTTCCACCACTGCCCTGCAGGTCTTTTGGCTCCCCAGTCCTGAGAACCCCGTTCCCACCACTGCCCGTGTCTCGGTGCTGGGCGGCTTGCCTCAACACCAGCCAGTGACGGTCACTGGGGTCCCTGCTCCCCGGTGAACTTGAGCCTCTTCCCCAGGGACCCGGCCAGCATCCTGCCTGGCTCCCACTCCTTTCCCCACGTAGCATGAGATGATGAGCTACACCTGGGCTCAGCTCTGGACGCTCCTGCGGCTTCCTCTCCATTTCCTGGGCAGATTCACATGAATGAAGGTGTCTCCTTCCCAGCATCTCACCACCCACTTGGCACCTTCTAGCCTTTCTCCTTTCTGATAGGATGACCACAGAGAATCTCAAGCTCGTTTGTTGAGCCGGGTGACAGACATCACAGGACCCAGTCAATACTACAGACCATGATTCTCTCAAAAGACTCCCAGAGTCCACTTACCCCAGGAAAAGGGTCTTTTAGAATGACACCTTTAAAATGTTATAATAGTAAGTGATCAACATTTCCTTAGGTGCCTGTCTGTATATAAGGATCCTGGCGATCCTACAAGTGAAGTATTATTAGACACATTTTACCTACGAAGACGTTGAGGCTCAGAAAGTTCAAACAATTTGCCTAAGGATACAGCGCCAATCTTGTGGCTCAGCTGGTAAAGAATCTGCCTGTGATGTGGGAGACCTGGGTTCGATTGCTTGGTTGGGAAGATTCCCTGGAGAAGGGAAAAGGCTACCCACTCCAGTATTCTGGCCTGGAGAATTCCATAGACTATATAGTCCATGGGGTTGCAGAGAGTCAGGCACAACTGAATAACTTCCACTTCACAGCGCCAATCAGTGGCAGAAACATCTCAGTTTGCACCTCTTCCATGCCTGTGATTACTTGTTCTTAAGGGGAAAATAACACGCATACTATCAGAATGTCACAAACACGTGGAAGCAGGGTCACACCCCCACACGTGGGCTCCCGGGTGCTTAAATCACATTTATGCATGTTTAACGCTTTGATTCAGGAAGTGCTCTGCCACTGGGGGTGCCCTCGCTTCTGCTCGCGTTCCATCAGTGCTGCTGACACTCACACATCCCAACATGTTGTTTCACCGTGGCTGAGGCAACAAAACAACTCTTGCAACAGTTGCCATACAGTGCCATATGGAAAAGTCATGTGTGGAGCGTGCGTCTTGGACAACAGCCGTTGTGTCTGCTTCCTGTGTGGGTGCACGTGGGGTGGGGATGTTTTTTGAGTGGTATGACTGAGTGTTTGGGGGTAGATCGAGGATCTGGGCAGGCCTTTTGACTGGCAGCCCCTTACTCTCAGGTATAAAACACATCTATAGCAGAGAAGGCGTGCGGTGGAGATGGATTCCTTTGCTCTGACTCTGTTGGCTCAGCATTGCCATTTTACTGCTCCCCATGAAGACTGCTGGCAAGTCAGTCCTGGTACCCGCCAAGAGGACTGTTTCCTTCCAAGGGAAGCTTCCCAGCCTACGACCTTAGCCTCAGACTAAGTTGGGCTGGCCGTGTTCTGCACCCACCCTCCTTTCCATGGTGGGTTAGATGGGATTTGGATTCAAGGACAGTCAACCCACAGACTGACCAGCAGCTGATGAAGTGACCAGGCAGGAAGCGCTCTGAAGAAATGGTAGATACAGAGGCCAACCAGGGTCTCATTCTTGGAAATCTGAACCAGAAATTGGAGAGTATCAGCCAGTTGGTAGAAAGAGAAAACAGGAGACAGAAAGCAGGCAGAGGGCAAGACAGTGGAAGAGACGCACTAGTGGGGGCACAGGGGCCCCCAAATCAGATGTGGGGGAGAAGACACTGCAACGCCTAGAGCTGCCAAAAGTCTCCAATGTCCTCCCCATAACTCCCCTGATGCCCTATTGGACATTTTCTTTCTGCTTATGTATTCCAGTGCAATCCTAATCACATTAATTGTATTAGGATGACGGGCAGCAAGTAACAGAAAATCCAACTAAAAACAGTCTGAATAAGAAAAATGATTTGCTTTCTCACTTAAAATCCCAAGGTTTCCCCCCACTTTCTCATCTCAATCCCTCATTCTAGCCACCACCCAAGGTCAGTTCATTTAGTGGTTCAAAACTGTCGTGAAGACTCCAGGTGTTTCCCGACTTTCTCCCGTCACCCCAGTATGCTGCTTGTCCTTCCAGGCTAACTTCTTCCCTCGTTGAGGAAGATGGTGGCAGTTCCAGGTAAGGACAGCCAGAGACAAAAAAGGATGCACTTTTCCTGTGTCCATCAAATCTTCATCAACTCCCCAATCTTCCATCATATCTCCTTGGCCAGAATCACGCCTGATGCCCACTCCCAAGTCATTCCCTGGGCCCAGCAGGTAGAAACTCGGCCTCCCCTGACTGGCACGACACTTTAACCCAGATAGTGCCACCTTTCAGCTGGCTGAGGGATGGACACAGCACTGTCTGGTCCACTTCGTACCTCGGGCACCGAACAATGAAGTTCCATTTCATGAAATGAATTGGTTGCCTTTCTTTCCAACCAACTCTTCAAAGAGTCAGCTAACACCGAGCTCATCTTAGCAGGTACACATGGGGAGTTCAGTGAGTTTGTAAGTACAGTTTTGTGTGGGGTCCTAAAGTCTTCACTCCTTCCAGTGTTTTATGGGCACACACACACACACACACACACACACACACACACACACACCACAGTTAAGACTCTGAGGAATGGCCTTTCACAACTGCAGCTAACCACTGAACCTCCCAGTTCACTTCTCGCCTTCTTTGGCCCCTAAGTCATCAGTCAGCCTTTGGGAGGCAGGGCCTGTCTCTAGCCTATAGGGTGGCTTTTCTGGACCAAGGGGTTCCCCAGATTTCAGAGTGCATCACAGAGAGGGCTGGAGAGCCCCTTAAAGCAAAGCTTGCTGGCCTCCACCTTCAGAGTATCTGATTCAGTAGGTCTGGGACCATGTGCCCTTCTGACAAGTTCCTAGATGATATTCCTGCTGCCAGTCTGCGGATAAGACTTTGGGAATCACTGCTCGAGGGCCAGGAGTGCCCACCTTCCTTCCATCTAGAAGGGAAGCATCTAAGGAGGCCACGCGGCCACTCACATCGCTTCTTCTGCAGTAAGGGGAACCTGCGTCCTTGTCACTTGCTGTCAGCCCCTGTCCGGGCAGTAGGGACTCTAACAGAGAAACAGAGGCCATCGTGTCCGTGTCCGGGAATGTTAGAGGGTGGAAACCTGGCCCCTGCCGCGGGAGGAAAAGGAGAAGGAACTTACAGGTTTGTTGGATCCTAGCTGGGGACAGGGGCCCAGAACTTCAGGCCTTTCCCTGCCCTGGGGTCTCCCAGGCATACGCTGGATATGCATTCTCCGCTGCATATGGTTGCTGTGAGCATAAAGAGGAAAGAGGGGTTTGAAACTGCCCAGCCAAATGCAAAGCTCTTTATGATCTGCAGTCCTATTAATCACAAAATGGTAAGCCAGGGCTGTGTAAAGGCTCCTGGGGAAGAGGGGCGGCCCGGGTCAGTTTCTGGGTCCCCGTGCCGGCCAAGCAGGTGTTCACCCTCCAGAAGCCTTCGCTCCCCACCCCGCACCCCCCAAGCGCGGGCACTGGGCTGGGGCCATCCTCCAGGCCCTCCTGACCCGCGTGTGCGCGCGTGCATTGCACAACAGATTGAAGACGAGGCCTGTGTTTCCCGTCCTTCCCCAGCCTGCTCCGGGATCCCAGCTGCGCGCCAGGGCCGTGGAGCCCCGAGGCTACGAGAATCCGGGGAGAAAGCCCGCGTTTCCCTCCCGCCCTCCGGGGTCGGAGAGCGGGGTGGGGATTGGGCCGCCGCCTGAGGACCCGGTGCAGGCCGCTTGGCAGAGCGGCCTATGGGGAGGGCCCCTCCAGCGCGGCTCCGTGGAGCCCTGGGGGCCGCGCCGGCTCGTCCCAACATTGTTCAGCACCCCGCGTCAGCCTTGGCCGCGGCCCCTGGCGCGCGCCGGCCGCTTTTGGCCGCCTTGGCCCCGTCTGAACCCTGCGGGCCGCGGGCCAGGGCGGGCCGAGCGCCGCCGCGCCGGGCCCCTCTCCCGACGCCTCCCGGCCGCCCGGGGCGGCTTCTCCCGGCCTCCCTGGCCCGCCCCGGGCTTCCCCCCATCCCGGCCCTCGCGCCGATCGTCCGCGGGTGCAAAACCCCGGGGCTGAGCTTACGGGTTTGCGGGCGTGTGCGCGCCCGGGGCTCCCTGCGCGCGCCGCCGCTCCCTACAGGGACGCGCGCGGGGGCTGCCCCACTGAGCCGGTGCCTGGCGCCCAGGGGTCCACCCTGACCTTGGGCTCAGCGCTCCTGGGCGCGCGGGCAGGAGCCGAAGGGCCGCGGCGGGGCGGAGGAGAGGCCTGTGGCCGCCCTGATGTCTCCGGGCGCACAGGTTTTGGAGGTCCCGGCGCGCCCCTCGGGCTCCAGCCGGGCGAGGTTCCAGATGTGTGCAGCTGTGCAGCGCGCGGGCTTCCAGCAAGTCCCGGGTGGGGGCCGAGTCAGAAGCGGCCCCTGCTGCTCTCTGCGTGAACCGGGTGGGGAAGCTTTGCCTGGGAGGGCCGGCGTTATGGCCACAGAAATGTTCTGGGGAGTGAAGGGCCTTTGGATGAGAAGTTGAAGGCTTGGGTCGAGGATGGGGTCTTGGTGTCACCATTTATTTACCAGCTGCCCAACCTTGAGGAATACAATCTCCCCCATTTTCTTGATTATCCGTAATATAGCTATCATGGGAGTGCTTCTTATCTTTCATACATTTTTTTTTGTCTTTCCAACAACACACAGGGTCGGTGTTACCCGAGTTTTGCAGATGAAGTGGGATCCATCTACGCCTGCCAAGATTATACCAGGGCTGAGTGGGGACCTGTGACTTGAAATGATCTCTAATTCGAGAGGCTGGACTGTGAGGATGTTGATGGGATTCGGAGAATTTTTAAAATGTAAAAGAGTGATAGATACCATTCTCCTCCGACTGCCCTCGGTCCTGAAGCCCCACCCGCAGGCATGACCCTTGCACCTCCGAACCTCCACAGCAACACTTCCTTAGGAACGCTGGTGAACAGGAGGGGGTTCAGGGTGGGCACCCCTGACAGGAAGCCTCGCCTGGAGCCAGAACTAGAGGGGGCCTCGCCCTCTTCTCATCCACATCCTTCTCTGTTCTTGAAAAACCAGACTGTCTGCTGGGGGTCCCCCACCCCCCCACCCCGTGCTTAGAGCCCACCCACCATCAGGACCCTTGGGCCTCTGAAAGTGCCTCAACTTCCTCATCTGTGCTCCCGCGTTCACTTTGCAGGTACGATGGTCGGAACGCTGGAGAGAAAAGGGCCTGGGTGCAGAGAAACCTGGGTGCTAGTCCTTCGTAAAACGAAAACGTCTAGCGATACTACAACCCGTCTTGCCTGACCCCGGGAGAGTTGTGGTGAGACTCAAAGTGGATACGGGCCACACCCGGGCTTCGGGAAGTGTGAAATGCCTCACACGTTCATACAAGGCGCTGGGAACAACCGGGGTATAAAAATGAATGCCATCTGGGACTCTTCCAGGTCAGCAGGGGAAATAAAAATGGCTATACACATAGTCAAAACATAAAACTGCGTGCAAGTGCTACCGCATATACCCCTGTGGTGCCGCCTTCCACCCTTTCTGGAATGACAACACATGTGCATCTGGCTGACCGCTAACATTCCTCCCCCAGCGGCATGAGCACTGTCCACACCATAGCTCAAGCCCAGTCCCCGTCTCCGATGAACCCCCTTCTTCCATTAACTTGGGTCTATGGCAGGGATACTTGTCCTCTTTGGGGGGAGGGCAGGGGGATTAGTTTCCTATGGCTGCTGCAACAGATCACTACAAATGTGGTGGCTTAGCATGTGTCTTACAGTTCTGAAGGCCCAAAGTCCAAAATCGGTCTCGTTGGGGTTCAAATCAAGGTGTCAGTAGGACTGTGTTCCTTCTCGAAGCGCTAAGGGAGAACCCGTTTCCTGCTCTTGCCTGTCTTCTGGAGGGCTCCTGCACTGTGACTCGCGTCCCTTCCTCCGTCTTCAAAGCCATCACTGTTGAGCTGAGTCTTCCTCACCTCGCTTTGGCTCCAAGCCCTGCTTCCACTGACACACCTTCTGACTCTGACACGCTTGCCCCCCTTCTTGTAAGGCCTCTTCCGATTGCACTGGGCCCACGTGGCTAATCCAGAATAATCTCTGTAAGATTCTTAACGTGATCATATCAGTAAAGTTCCCCTTGCCGAGAACACATTCTCGAGTCCCGCAGACTAGGTCCTGAGCATCTCTGGGGGAAGGTCACTAGGCAGGGGAGGGGGGGACTGGGGCCTCAAGCCACAGCAAAAACTTTTTCCTAAGGAGAAATATCAAACGTTCAACTCTCTTCTTCAGTCAAGAAGTGGGAATTGGCTGTGTGACGCCGGGAGCTCAACCCGGCGCTCTGTGCCAACCTAGAGGGCTGGGACGGGGTGGGAGGTTCAGGTTGGAGCAGATGCATGTATACCTATGGCTGATTCATGGTGAGGTATGGCAGAAACCAACACAGTATTGTAAAGCAATTATCCTCCAGTTAAAAAAAAAAAAGGAACATAGCAACTTCTCCTATAAATGTGACAAACTTTGAAAAAAATATACCTCTGCCTTCCTTCCTGTATCCATTTAACATCAGATTGCCTGCTATGAGGGAAGAAGAAATGAAGAGCCACAAACATAGACTCTGCATAAAAGAACAGGGGGGAAGCTCAGTAGGTTGGGAAATTGTAGCATGTGCCTCACTGGGAATGGAAGTTACAGGCCTTTGAAATGATTAGCTGTTAACCATTGTTCACAGCTCTTCAGCTGCTCTACGCTGCAATCTTTTGGCACCATTCATTTCTAAATATTCTTAAAGCATCAATAGAAACCTTGGCTCCTTTTCTTTTCCACAAGAACTACCTGGAAAATAAAAAAAATAAAATAAAAATGGTGCTTCTCTGATTGAAGTCGGCACATGGAGCCCCTCAAACATTCTGTCAGATTCTAGGAACATGGTTTTATCTGTTTTGTGAGGTCGTTTCTCTGAGTGAACTAACAAAAATAAGTTAGAAATTGCTGTTCGGAGCACTAGGGAAAATACCATGTTGAAAACTACTTCTTGGAAGCAAAAGCAAGGAACACAGTATTCTTTCAAGAACTGGCTCTTGTTCTGAGACTTGATTTCCCCAGCTTTGCCATATAACATAGGTGCTTCCATGCCATAAGCCTTTAGTTACAAGAGTAAAAGGGTCAGTGTGCAATATGTTGAAAAGTACATAGGTCCAGAAACCAGATGGGAGGAGCTCTGATCCGTTCATTCATTCGTCCGTACTTACAGAGTGCCTAGCAAGGGCTTCCCTGATGGCTCAGGCCTAAAGCCTCTGCCCGCAATGCGGGAGACCTGGGTTCAATCCCTGGGTTGGGAAGACCCCCTGGAGAAGGAAATGGCAGCCCACTCCAGTACTCTTGCTTGGAAAATCCCATCCATGGATGGAGGAGCCTGGTAGGCTACAGTCCATGGACTCGAAGAGTTGGACATTACTGAGCGACTTCACTCTCACTTTATCATGGGCCCAGGCACAGTCTGGGGGCAGAAGGGGACGCTGGGTAAAGAAGCAGGGAAGTTTGGCATGGGCTATCTGACCACGCTGTTGGACAGGGCTCTATGCGTGAGGCACAGGGGAAGGCCTGGAAAGCTTTCCAGAGGAAATGGTGTGTGAGCCTGGAATTAGAAGACAAGGAGTTAGCCTGCAGAGACTGGGGCTGCAGGAGGCTGGGCTCATTGAACCTGGCAAAGCCCAGAGATGAAGAGAGGTGAAGAGAGGGGTTCTGTTGCTGAGTAAGCAGGAGCTGGTGATGCCATAGGGCCTTGAGGCCCTTTTAAGGAGCTCGAATTTTCTCCCAAGAGCTAGGGGAACCATTACAGGGTCCCAAGAACTGACTCATTGGAAAAGACCCTGATGCTGGGAAAGACTGAAGACGGGAGGAGAAGGGGACGACAGAGGATGAGATGGTTGGATGGCATCACCGATGCGATGGCCATGAGTTTCAGCAAACTCCGGAGTTGGAGATGGACAGGGAGGCCTGGCGTGATGCAGTCCATGGGGTCGCAAAGAGTCGGACATGACTGAGCGACTGAACTCAACTGAAAGTAAAGGTTCACATGGTAGGGTTTGCTCCTTGCCAGCAAACTCAGTGACCTTGGACAAGGTGCTCTCCTAGTTCTCCCATCGGTGTCTGGCTGTTCCCTGGCGCCGTTCCCCGCTCTGACCTCGGGACTCGGTGAGCAGGAAGTCCAACTGGCCCGCCGGCCCCTCCATTCCTGCGGCTCTTTCTGTACCATGGAGGCGCCAGTGGCCCTGGCCCCAGGCCTCCCCTGCCCGGGGTCGGTGCCACTTCGGAAAATCGAGGTGGCCTTGCTCAGCTTGGAGCTGACAGACGCTCGATGGACCCGAGGCCGGAACGTCACGAGGCCAGCCGGGCGGCCAGAGGCCGCGGAGGAGAGCAGCTCTGGCATTTAAGGCGCAGCGGCTGCTTCCTAAATTTAGGAAGAATTCTTAAATTCTTCCTAAAAGCCCCCCGCGCCACCGCAGGCCGCCGCCTCTGATCGCGCCCCTAGGGCCTCGGAACACGGCCGCCGGGTCTCCGCAGGGCGGACACCGGCCCCCTGTTCCCGCTCGCGGACCTCAGAGCCGGCCCTCCGGGGCGGATGGCCCGCGGTAACCTCCACCGCCCAGGCCGCCGGAAGCGCGGCTCTCGGGCGCGGAGCCCGGGTCGGCCTCGGGTGTGCGCAGGCGCGGGCCGGGCGCACCCGGGAGACGGGGCGCGAGCGGCCGGCGCTCCCGCGGCCCGCGGGCGCCGCCCGGTGGAAGCTGGGCGCCAGGGCACCCCGCGTGCGTCCACGTGCGGCCGGCGCTGGCCCCGAGCGGACCGGCAGTCAAGCCCCAGGCCGGGAGCCCAGCCAAGCGCTGTGTTTTTCCAGGTCCGCGCGGGGACCGGGGGATACTGCGTGTTTGTTCGGTGGGAATAGTTTACTGGAAAACTAGGCGGAAGGTACCCTGCAGATCGGCATAGACTGTATTGTTTGGGAGTCAACAGCCTGTAAAGTACATGTCAGGTGACCGCAGTGCTGGGAACCACCGCTCCCTCCTCCCTGACCTTGAGCGAGGCTCTGGCGGGGCGGGGGCAGCGGGGTGCGGAGGGGCGGGGTCAAGACTTGACTGGCCTATTGTTGTTGCTCAGTCGCTCAGTTGTGTCTGACTCTTTGCGACCCCATGGACTGCAGCACGCCAGGCCTCCCTGTCCTTCACCATCTCCCGGAGTTTGCTGAAACTCATGTCCATTGAGTCAGTGATGCCATCCAACCATCTCATCCTCTGTCATCCCCTTCTCCTCCTGCCTTCAGTCTTTCCCAGCATCAGGGTCTTTTCAAAGGAGTCAGTTCTTCGCATCAGGTGGCCAAAATATTGGAGCTTCAGCTTCAGCATCAGTCCTTCCAATGAATATTCAGGACTGATTTCCTTTAGGATGGACTGGTTGGCTCTCCTTGAAGTCTAGGGGACTCTCAAGAGTCTTCTCCAACACCACAGTTCAAAAGCGTCAATTCTTCAGCGCTCAGCTTTCTTTATGGTCTAACTCTCACACCCATACATGACTACTGGAAAAACCCTGGCCAGCTCTCAAATTCCATCCCCTGGGTCTGTGAACTGGGGCTGAAGCCCGCCCCCCCCCTTTGCCCACCCCACAAAGACATAATGCATGTGGAATAATAACAATTCCAGAGAGGCAAGATTTCTGCAAGGTGGGAGTGAAGATGGAGGGGTTGCTGGGGACTTGTCCAATCATAACGATGTCTGAAGGGCACCCCCTAATGGGGGCCTTAGCTGTGGAGAGTGGACTCCCACAGGACAGTGGTCGTTGTCTGCCCTAGCCCACCTAGGGAGCCACGCTGCACACAGTTCTCTTGAAGTTCATCGCTGCTAGCCAGGCAGGCCAAGTCCTCCCTGAGCCTGGGTTGTCCTTCATCTTCTGTGGTCCCACCTTGTGCTCCTCTCCAGCAGTTGGTTTGGAATGTGTTTTCTCTCCTTGGAGATGCCAAGATTAATCAAAAAATGCGTCACTGGCCTCTGCCCACGCTCAGTTCCACCCGTGTTTCCAGACTACGTGCTGGGAAACGGCTTCCTAAGGGCTCCCCTCCATTTTCACGTTCTTCCCACTGCCGGGTCTGTGCCTGGAGTTGGTGCGGGGACAGCAGCTTCAGGCATGGAGGTACGAACTCGCCAAGGTTTTGCCACTTTGCGGGAAGTCGTGCCTTCCGGGCTAGGGCGTTTCTTTTATCTAGTTTCTGAACATTCATCCTGGCTGCAGGTATCTGTGGTTTGGGATGTAACTCCATCACACCTGCTTCCCCCTAGGTTATCAGAGCCCTGGTGATGGAGGCTCCCTTAACGATGGGAGGGACAGGACATGAAGCTGGACAAGTCACTGCATGACTCTGTATGGTGACGCCGTGTTTCATCTTCCTCAAGAAATGTCTAAACTGGATGACCTCGCTGGACATCTTCTGGCACACAGCTCTCAGGACAGAGAGGGACAAACTGAGACCCACAGAGGGGAAGTGACTGGCCTGGGTTGCTCAGCAAGCCAGCAGCCGACCCGGAAATAGGTCTCAGGTCTGACACCCAATTTATTCATTTATTGTACACATTGGTTGAGGGCCCACTCTGAGTCAGGCACGGTGCTGGGTGCTAAGGATGCAGCTGTGAACAAAAGGAAATGACTGCCTAGACCTTGTACCCTCTGGTGTTATGTGTGGCGATCGTGGGCAGCCAGCCAGACTTGTCCCATCAGGGTGCAGTTAGAAGTGCCTCGTAGCTCTGTGCTCCTTCTTCTTGGAGAGGATGGTCTTGAGGGTTGGGAGGAGAAGCCCACTTGTGCATTCACTTGTTAAATAAATACTGGCGGTGTCCCACTGTGTGTCGGCTGCTCTGGGGGACACACACACCCCACTACGAGCAAGACCCACCTTCCGAAGGTGCCCGATCAGCTGGGCAGAGACTTGTCTCTTAGCATCTCTACCTGCACTTCTATAGTTTTTATGCTTATTCCTTTCCTCTCCAGCTCTCCTCCTAAAAAAGAGGCTTTGTCGAAAACTCTGATTCTGAAATGGTGCCAGCCTTTTCCCCAGAAGGCATCTCACATCCAGTCGCTGTTACTGACTTATTGATGGACATCGTCCAGTGGCCTTGGGGAGGTGGTGGGCAGTCCAGCCACAGCCTGTAATGAGGAGAGACAACCCAGCATCCACCCTGCAGTGAATAATAGAACAAAAAGCTCCTGACGCCTGCAGGATCAAAGCGCAGGAGCCCCAGTGTCTCTGGGTTAAGTAGACCAGCAGAGGGGCTGGGGCAGGTGGGGGGCACCTTGGACTTTCTGGGAGGGAGGTCTGGGTTGTGGAGGAAGCTTCAGCTGGAGAAGGGGTTTCTATGCTTTATGGAATATTCTGTGGCTCTCTGCACCTTCCCTAATGGGGCTCTTCCCTCCACCCTCCCTCTCTACCGCCCCCTCCAGGCCTAAAGAGGTGGAGTGGGTGAGGAGGAAAGAAGGCTGGATGTACCAGGAGTCAGGAGACACTGGATCCCTGAGCTTAGGCAACACTGAATTCCTTCCCGGCCCTCGGTCTTCCCTTCTGTACTATGAGGAGGTTGGAATATGATCATGAACGTTCTTCTTGCTTTTGTAAGCTGTGTTTCTCTAAAAAGAGGTGGAGAGAATCCATTGTTTAGGATCCTTGTCCAGTTACTCGTAGGCCAGGCAGAAGGATCGTCAGGTCTTTCCTGGGTCCCTCCTCAAACTCAGCTCTGAGCCCCTCTTTCTCAGGGCAGCCAGCCGGAGGTCAGGCAGGAGAACTGTGATATTTACTCTTTCACCCTGCCTGTGCGCATGTGCCAGAAATCAGCAGCGACCTTAGAGTAAGTTTTTTTAGGAGGGTGAATTGTTATCTGTATTTTTAATCTTGAAGGAATGTTTAAAAATATTGATATTAATGTTAGTGCCTGAAAATAGATATGCAGTTCTACAGTAGAAGACCCTGGTGGTACAAGGTGCTCCAGGGACTGTACAGATGTTTATCTCGGGCAGGAAGACCCCCAGGGTCCTCCACACGCACTCGCTTTGAGTACCACACCCTATCCGCTCCTTGTGAAAGTGTGTGCCCGCGCGCCCTGAGTCAGCCTGAGTCCTGACCCTTTTCTCTCTCCTCCTCAGTAAGCCGGTAAAGGAGGTAAGTACATAATTAGAGGAGGAAATGTGTCAGTCAGGAAATAACTCGTTTTACTAGAGGAAAGTCATTAAAAGCCCTTCCTTTTGTTTGTGAGCACAGGGCAGGTAAGGAGCCGCAGAATAGAGCTGGGGTCAGGGGGTCGGGGCGGGGGGGTCCACACTGTTACTGGAGACAGAAAATCCCGTGTTTGATAGACCCCCAGGACTCGAACATGGAACCCAGCGCACGGGTCCGCTCAGGCCGGAGCCTGGAAGTGTGCACACACACTTGTGCAGCTATGCTGGGTACTGCGCAGACCTGTGTGATGACATGCCTGGACACACATGTCCGCTCGGCGTCTTTACACAGACATTCAGTGTAGAGTGGAGACCCGGTGTTACGGGTGAACGGTGTCCCTCAGAAAGCTACGCACCCAGCCTAACCCGTGTGAAGGCGACTTTACTGGCAAAAGAAGTCTCTGTTGTGTCAGCTGGTGAAAGTGAGATCACCCTGGAGTCACTTGGACCCGGATCCAGGGTGACTGATGTCCTCGCACAGAGAGGAGAGTTAGGAGACCGACAGAGACAGACAGGGGCGATGGCCACGTGGAGATGGAGGCAGACGCTCGAGTGATGCTGCTCTGGGCCAAGGGAAGCTGGACCTCCAGGACCTGAAATAAGCAAGGAAGCACTCTCTTGCAGCGACTGGGGAGGGCGAGCAGCCCTGCGACACTTTCACCCTGGCCTTCTAGCCTCAACACGGTGAAAAGAAACTTCTGTTGCTTTAGGCTGCGGTGCCTTGTTATGGCCCTAGGAAATGAGAGTCCAAGGTACGCAGAGTCCGTGGGGCGTGCCCACACCAGGCGTGCACGGCGCTCTGGCACAGACAGCCCGAGATAGGCTCGCAGGATGTTAGATGGGTCCCTCCGCAGCCACGCCCTCCGCCGGGAGCTCACACCAGCGGCCTTAGGCCCCCCACCATCACGAGAGCCGCCAACATTTATTGTGCAGTCCTCTTTGCTGAATTCTGTTTTACACCCTTGAGGTCCGTGAATTGAATCTTTTAAAAAAATTTTTTGTTTTAATTTTTGCAATGTTGTGTTGGTTTCTGCCATACAACAACCCGAATCAGCCGTAGTTATACATACATCCCTTCCCTCCCTCCCCTCCACCGCCCCCCCCCACCCCAGGTCGTCGGGGACCACCAGACCGGGCTCCCTCTGCTACAAAGCAAGTTCTCAGCAGCTGTCCACCTTACACATGAGCGTGCATGTATGTTGATGCTACTTTCTCCATCCGTCCTATTCCCTACCTCTCCCACGGTGTCGTTCCCTACATCTGCGTCTCCATTCCTTCCCTGACAACAGGTTCATCAGTACCTTTGTTCTAGATTCCTTATCTATCTGTTCGTATATGATGTTTGTTATTCCCTGAAAAGTGCAGGAGTTTTCCCATTCACCGATGAGGAAACGGCGGCACCCAGAGCCTGAAGAGCTTGCTGCTCCGGGGGCGGAGAGCTCGGAGGCTGATGTAGATCCCGCCTGTGTCTGCAGCACCTGGTGAATGACCCTTTTCTCGGGGTTCTGGTGAGGACTGTGTCCTGAGCAGGACTGGACTGTCTCTTCGGCTGCCTCCTGAGTCTGGGGCTGTGATGTCCAAAGCCAGAGCCCTGGCACAAAGGCTTGCCTTCGCCTCTGTCTGTTAGGTCTGCAGTGATCTGTGTGAAGAAGTAAGAGCAGGACGGGGCAGTGTGAGCGGAGAGCTTCCATCACTTTGCTCCGTGTATGTGTTTTGATTCAAGAATACTTTATTCATTGAGGAATATTTTGCATACCATATTATACACACAGTGAGCATGTAAGTGTTGATGAGGTTTGACAAATAGATCTAGTCATGTAACCACTACTCCAATTAAGGAAGGACCACTTCTGTCACCACAGAAAGCTCCTTGTACACTTTTATAGTCAAAATCCTGTCTCTATCCCAGGCAACCCCTGATCACAGTTCTAACACCACAGATTAATTTTGCCTTGTTTCCAGTTTCACCGACATGGAAATACAGAATATGTGCCTTTTGCATGTCTGATTCCTTTCACTCAGTGTAATTATTTTTGAGATTTAATCATGTGGTTATATATGCCAATAGTTCATTCTTTTTTTCTTTTTTCTTGCTGAGTAGCATTCTGTTGTACATTCTTTGGTACTGCCCAATGGACATGAATCTGAGCACACTCTGGAAGATACAGGAGAAGGACAGGGGAGCTTGGCACGCAGCAGTCCATAGGGTCACAAAGAGTCGACATAACATAGCGACTGAACAACAAGTTTCCATTGTTTGAAGGCACCACATTTGTTTACCTGTTCAACTGTCGATAGACATTTAGGTTGTTTGCAGTCTTTTTAGTTATGTTAGTTGCTTAGTCGTGTCTGACTCTCTGGGACCCTATGGATTATAGCCCACCAGGTTCCTCTGTCCATGAGATTCTCCAGGCAAGAATATGAGAGTGGGTGGCCATTTCCTTCTCCAGGGCATCTTCCCAAGTTAAGGATGGAACCTGGGTCTCCTGCATTGCAGGCAGGTTCTTCACCATCTGAGCCACCAAAGCAAACTATTACAAATAAAATTGCTATGAACATTTGTATGTTTCTTTGTGTGAACATGGGTTTTTATTTCTCTTGGGTAAATGCCTAATAGTTGGAGGACTGATGTATATTTAACTTTTTTAAGAAATTGAAAAATTCTTTTCCTAAGAGGTTGTGTTATTTAACACTCCCACCAGCAGTGTAGAAGTGTTCTAGTTGTTCCAAAACATCACCAGCACTTGTATTGACTATTTTTTAATATTTTAGTGGTTCTGTTGGGTATGAAGTGGTAGTTCACTGTGGTTTTAATTCATATTTCCCTGGTTTTAATTCATATTGCCAACATTATAGATGTTGGCAATCTTTTAATATGCTTATTGGATATTTCTTCTTTTGTTAACTGTCTTTTGCCAAGTTTAATTTTTTTTTTTTTTACTATTGAGTTGTAAGACTTCAAGATAAATTCTGGACATGAGTCATGTCAGATATACAAATTTTGAATATTCTCTGACAGTCTGTGACTTGCTTTTTCATTTTTAAACATAGTTCTTTTAAGTTCTTTGTCAGGAAGTGTGTCGATGTCCGTTTCCTCAGGGCAGGTTACTGCAGCTTTGGTTTTTCTTTTTGTGGTGTCACATTTCCCGGATTCCTCATGATCCCTGTAGCCTTGCATTAGTGTCTGCACATCTGAAGATTCAGCCACCTCTTCCAGGCTTTACAGATTGCCTTCAGCAGGAAAAGCCCTTCACTAGTCAGCCCAGCCAGAGACTGGGTAGGACAGTTGGTGAGGACCACAGCCAGTGGGATGAGGCTGCTCTTGGGGTCCCCAAGTGGGCCTGGTGCCAGGGCTGGACAACAGTTAAGGAAGTCAACAATACATTTCTGTTATCATTGTCTGTATCTCAAGAATCATGGTTGTAAGTTCCCTTGGTCCTATTTTGTTAGAAGATGGGGTCTGAATAAATGATAACATAAAGCCAGCTCGTTACTGAGCAGGACCTCTGACTCTGAAAGCCCAAGGGGTCCTGATTGCTCTGCTCTTTATTCTGTCTCGCCCCACCCCCCATGCTTTTTGGCAGCCCCTCCAGCTTCATTCTCACGCATCCCCAGGGATACATTCCTATACCCGCAAACAGGCAGACACCCTCAAAGCATCAGGCTCCATATCAGACAGTTGAGAACCTTGGACTAGAAATCGGTGGAGACAAGAAGACCCAGAAGTGATTGATCTCCCTGTCCCTAGGGAGCCTGTGATTATTGATGAAGACAAAGGTCATCAGAAAGACAGTAGGAGAAACTTAATAAACCAATAAGGAGAAGCCCATCTGTCAGCGCACACAGGAATGATACGAGGGAAGAGGGGCTATAATAGAAGATGACCTTCTGAGAACTGGACAGGTCCTGCGAAGGTGTACAGCCTGACTCCTGTTGAGAAGCAGATCACCCCGCTCCCAGGCCTTCCTTGACAAACACCTTGACTTTATGAGATGAAGCTTGAAGATGGGGAGGAGGTGCTAATTGTAGCCTATATTCATGAGGTTTTGTATGACAGTAACACAACTCATACTATCAAGTAAAAATTTAAAAAAGGAATATTTTGACTCATGTAACTGAAAAGTCTAGAGGATATGTCTGGTTAGACAAGGATTTCCACGATATCATCAGGGCTCTATCTATCCCAGGCGCTCTCCTGATGGTGAGCATGGGGCTGCCAATAACCAAAGGCTCACATCCCACCAGATTAGCAACTTGGAAACAATAAAGCTTCTTCCCCAAAACCTTTGGCAGAAAAGCCCTGTTGAAGGACCTGATCACCTGGCTTTGGGTCACATGGCCACCCTTGATTCAGTTAGTTTGGCCAAGGGCACAAAGTATCCTGATTGATCAGGACAAAGTCTCCTGTACATCAGTGAAGATTGGGCTGTGACGGTCCCATCCAAACCACTTGGAAGAGATTCTCCAGAGAAAAAAGAATTCTTTTACCAGAACTAGGGAAGTTGGTACTGGACAGGGAACACAATAGAAGCCCACTCCACAGTCCACATCCTAGCCCCAAGTATGATTACATGAAGTAAAGAAGGGAACAAGTTCTTGTGGATGTAGGACTTTCACATGGATGACACGGAGGCCTAAGATCAGGAAGGCACCTTGAGATGTGTGTGTTCTACCCAGGTGTCGCCCATGGCACAGATGTCTTCCCTGTGGGAAGCCTCAGAGACTACACTCCAGAGCCTGTTTATCCTGGTGACCAGCTGAACTAACAGAGAACCGTCCTTTGGAGGACAAAGGCACAGAGGTGGGCAGAAAGATCAGGCAGGGAGGATTCCAGTCCCTCCCCTCTCCTCCCGCCACCTGGACCCCCGGGACCATGCGCCTGGGCCTCAGGCGTGGACCCCGGAATGCAGGAAGGGTGTCAGGCAGGCGGGCCGCGGGCACACACCGCATGGCCTTCCTTCCCCAGCCCCTCCACCTCAGCACAAGCGGCAACTACGCCACAGAAGCCACGGAAGGCAGCGTTCGGAAATTTAAAAGATGAACGTGCACGGGGTAATTGAATAGCATTCTGCTGAGAAACGAGCTCTCAGAGCTGATAATCAAGACTATGCTTCACCCGAGGGGCTCTGTCTGCCTCACTGCAGACGCGGCAGCTGAGCCCTGGGGAGGGTTCTGCGGGGGGCTGGCAGGGGGCAGTGCTTGGCTTTGGGTCAGGTTGAAGGCCTGAGCCGACCAGCGGTGGGCAGGGAGCTCTGTGTCCTCGGCAAGGTTCCAAGGGGATGGATGGGGGGCGCTGACCCCAGGATGGCTGAGGGGCCTCTAGGTGCCAAGATTTGGATACTACTGTCATGATTTTTTCAGATCCAACCATCAGGTGTCTATCGAGAGTGTACTATACTATCTGGACCAGGCTCAAACCTGAGGGATAAAAACACAAAGGAATAATAAAAATGCAAATCATTTATACAGTACTTAGTATGCACCAAGCATCATTTTAAAGTGATTTCCATATAGGCCTAATTTGATCTCGGCAGCAACCGTGGGAGGTAAGTGTTACCACTGGCCCGGTTGTACCCTTGAAGAGACTGAGGCACAGAGTTTAATTTACTCAAGTTCACAGAGCCAGTAAAGAGAGCATGGGGTTCAGACCCAGGTGATGGGAGGAAGAATATGAGATCTTACTGATAACAGAGTCCCCACTCAGTGACTTCACCGTCCTGTTGAGGTGAGCAGAGTCTGAGGATTTGCAAAGGCAGGGGGATGGATGAGACCGGAGATGAAGGGCTCTCTGGGGCCTTTTGGTCAACCCCTCTCTGAGGCCCGGCCTCCCACCCAGGAGGCAGCCGTGGGTAGATTCTGTCCTCTGGGACCCTTCCTCCCGGGCATGCTGGCAACCCCCGCCCCTCCAAACCCACCTCTCTCTCTCCTTTTCCCCCCTTTCTCTGGTTATCGTAATTATTCGGGAATTTACAGAATAATCCGTCACCAAGTCCTCCAGAACAAATTGAATGTCAGGTTTATAAAACAACCTAATAAAGCAGATGGCATTACCCACTGGTAAATCTCTCCCCCACATCCTGTCCCACCCCCTCCCCACTTTAGTGTCTCGGAAGCTGACAGATTATCCATTTACAGGCAGATTAATCCTGAACAGTACAAACATGGGGAGAAAATTACACTTTCTTGTCTCTATAATTGATAGGAAGGACGCATTAATCTGTAAAGCCCGAGGAAAGGCCCATCTGTCTGCCCACGCAGACGCGGGGGCGTCTGGGAAGGAAGGAGCCACGTCCATCTCCGTCTGTCCGTCTGCCTTTTTATCAGAAGCCACTTGCCCGGGAGGTTTCTAGCTCTCTCCCTGGCCCTGGAAGCTGGGCACCTGCGACCTTAGACAAACCCCCATCCCCATCCGCGAGGCAGGCCGGGTTCAAGGTCCGGCATTTCGGGGCTCCAGGCCAAGGGCCGAGGCTCTGCCACCAGCCTTCTTTCGCCTTCCTTCGGAAGCTTTGACCACTGAGAAGCCTGTCAGCCTCGCTCTGCGGGGATGCCATGTCTGCCTCAGTGTCCACTCTCAGGGTGGCCCTTGGGGGAACGCCGAGAGGCGTTTCTTCAGTAAGATTTGGGTTCAGTGCCCCCCTCCCCACTCTCTACTACCGCTTTAAAACTTTTTGCAGATGGACGCACTTCTTCCCCGCGACGCCATTTCCTCCTCTTCTGGCACCTTCTCTGGGAGAGGCAGGTGTGAGGCATTAATTGTCTCCTTGAGGCCTGTCGGAGCTGGCAGGAAATGTCACACCAGCCGGATCCTCTCTCTGCGGAGGGAGTGGGTGGAGCCTGGGTTCTGAAGAGATTCTGCCCCAGAAAGGACCCTCCCCACCCCCTCAACTCAGGAGACCGACAGCGACAGACGTGGACAACAAACACCCCCACCCTTCCAGCCCACCCCATCTGAAGCATTTAGGGCAGGCTCCCTCCCTCACCGTGTCTGGGGATGAGGGGCCTGCGGCGGGGGGGGAGCGGATTTATCTAGAGTGGGAGGGCGGGTCCACGGCTAGTCCTGGCAGATCCCCGTCTGACAGAAGGACCCGGTAGAACCTCAAATGAGAGAGGGAGGAGATAGAAGTGAGGATGGGAGAGAAATAGAGGAGACAGTCAGAAGACGCCAAGTGACCAGGAGAAAGAAAATGGAGTGAAGACGGAATAAAGGTGAAGTAGAGGAGTCCAGGGCTAGAGGTCATAACTCCTGCTTTCCGGATGGTGGGCATCTCTCAGGATCTGAGAGCCTCTGTCTCCTTAGCTTCCACTGCGCTGCTTCCAAAGGTGCTGGCCCTCAGATACGTGGGCACATTCCCAGCACACCCCCAGTTTTGTCTGGAGGTGCTCCAGGTTCTCAGAGTCCCGATGCACAGCAGGAACCTCTCACCAGGGTAGTGGGCTTCACAGGACACTTCGCTCCCACCTGCTGGGCTGCAGACCCGCTGTGGCTAGGCCTCTCCAAAGAGGTGGCCTGTGGGAGAGGGCGCCACGGACTGAATCGCGGTGCCCAGGGCCACGTCTCTTGTCTGGGGATTGACGGGTGCAGAAGGGCTCCCCGCAAGTGCTCCAGTCTTTGCCTTTGGACTCCAAGCTCTTTGCGCAAATGTTACCCGCTACTCCAGGAAGTTGTTTGAGGATGGCTCTAATCAGCGTTTCTCAGAATATGTCCCTGGGAGCACTATTGGTGCTTGACCTATTTTCAGCGCTCCACAGTCAAATACATTTGAACGGTTCTGGGCTAACAAAGTTAAATAATGTCATTTTCTCTGTTTCACTTTTGGTATTTTTTTTTGCCCCTTTCTCTTCTCTGCTCTGGTTGATTTTTCTCCATTTCTGTCTGTGTTTTCTTCTAACTCTCTATATTATAAAGCATTGATTGTAGGTTTGATACATTCCCACTGAAATGGTAAATACCAGCTCATTTTGGTTTCATGCTTTCCCTTTTAAAATGAATGATTAAATTCTACAGTAGATATATTTTTAAAATTGACTATTATAATTTTAAAAGAGAAAAAAATTAGTGACTCTGACCTTAGGGTCCTGAAAGCTTGAAGGTAATATCATTCCATTTTCATTTACTAATTTTAATAAGACTCACTGCAACATAAATTGTAGAGTAATGATATGTAAATTATCTGGAGAAACCAACAAAGCACTTAATTTTATCCCCTTAAATGTCATAATTAATGCTGGTTGAACATCTAAGGTTTGGAGGGCTAGTTTTATTAGGTATGAGTTTGGGTGATAAAATGAAATTTTTTTACTTATTATGTTTCTAAGAGTCTCAAAGTTTTTCAACCAATTAACTTGTTAGTGTCTAAAGAGGCAGATTTTTTTTGTTTGTTTTTTTGCCTTTTTAATAGTGAAAACCGTTTCCTCATTCTGGCACTGTATCTTCATAAACTGACAAACCAGAATCAGTCCTCCACGTACTATCCAAAGATCAGGGCCGTATTTTTTTTTTTTTTAAATTGGTAAAGTCCATTGTTAGACATTCTCAGAAGGTACAGGCAAAGAGGGAAATGCTACTCTTGCCCTTAAAAAGAAAAGACAGTATGAGAAAGCATGTCTCTCCTAAAGATATTATTGAGAACTTCACAGACAAAACCAGCTGGTTTAGAAAACAGAAAGTGAAGTAAAAGAGCGCTGGAGAATGAAGAGCTGAGTTTTCTAGGTGTCAGATCTTGTGTTTGCTTACAATGTTCCCTGTGCCTAGACTATCTCTCGCCCACTCTGTATACCCGCTCACGTCCATTTCGGGTATCTCCTTTCCTTTACCAACTTGGTAGAATTGACTCATCCTCTTCCAGGCCTTCACAGTATGTGTTCCATATTTATCTTAACACTTTATTGAATTTTAATTATATTTCATGTTGCAAGATTCAAGGGTCAAGATGCTTAATAAACTCTAAATAGGATAAACTCAAAGAAGACCACACCAAGACTCATCATAATCAAAATGGTGAAAATTAAAGCAAAGAAAAACTTTCGAAAGCATTTAGAGGGGAAAATGACACTTTACACACAGGGGAACAAAAGTTCTATACTGGAGGTTTCTCATTAGAAGCTCTGAAGGTCAGAAAACAGTGGTACCTCATCTTTCAAGGGCTAAAAAAAAATAGTCAACTGAGAACTCTATATGCAGCAAAAGTATACTTTAAGTAGGAAGTCAAAATTAAGCTATTCTCAGATGGAGGAAAGCAAAAGAGAAGTTGTCACTAGATTGCCTGTTCTGTGAGAAGTGCTAAAGAAAATTTATCAGGTTGCATAAAAATGATAACAAAAGAAAATTTGGACTTGAATGAAGAGAGCAAAACATAAATGGTAACTATCTGGGTAAACAGAGACCATATTTCCCCCTAGTTCTTTAGAACACATGTCAGTATAGAAGGCAGAGGTTATAACACCATCTGGTAGAATTTTCGGTGTATGAAGGTATAATACAAATAACAATGATAACATAAAAGTTGGTTGAGGGGAATAGTAAAGGAGTTTATATGATTGCAAAGCTTCTACATTTTACTTGAATATGAAAGTATATGTATTGTAATCTCTAGAGGAAATGCTACAAAATAAATTATAAAGAGATTTATAAAAATGCCAATAGAAAACAAAAATAGAATATTAAAAATTAATTAATCCCAAAGGGGACTAGAAAGGGGAGATATGGATATAAATATAAAGGGGAAAAATAGAAAACAAATAGTAGAATTGTAGAACTAAATTTAACAATATTAATAATTACATTAAATGCTAATGGCCTGTATGTATGTTAGCTGCTCAGTTGTGTCCAACTCTTTGTGACCCCATGGACTGTAGCCCACCAGATTCCTCTATTCATGGAATTTTCCAGGCAAGAATACTGGTGTGGGTAGCCATTCCCTTCTCTAGGGGATCTTCCCGACCCAGGGAGCAAACACGGGTCTCCGGCACTGCAGGCAGATTCTTCACTGTCTGAGCCACCAGAGAAGCTCTGCTAATGGC